CGGGCATGGAGAGTTGGATCCATCACCTCTCCTGTTCGTCTTCTCGAAGATCGCGCCAGTCTGGCGGCGATCACAAGCGAACAAGCGTGGCAACCCTGCCGGCTTAAAAGCACCACAGAGACTCAGAGACAGAGCCCCCCCTCCTCCTCCACCTCATCTTCCTCCACCTCCGCCCTCCTCTTCCTTTTCCTCCTTCTCCGCCTGCTCGTCCTCTCCCTTCTCTTCCTCCGCTTCCTCGTCCTCTTCAGTAGAGAAGCTGAGCGCGGTCGTGCAGCGCATCACTTTTGGAACTAGATCACGCCGGTCCGGCGGCGAACAGAAGCGGAAAACGAAGCAAACCTGCAGGCTTAGAAGCACCGCACAGACTGGCAGACAGAGTCCCCCCTCCTCTTCCACCTCATCCTCCTTCGCCTCCGCCCTCCTCTTGCCCCTCCTCCTCCTCCTCCTGCTCGTCATCTCCCTTGTCTTCCTCCTCCTCCTCGTCCTGTCAGCACAGAGGCTGAAGGCGGCCGTGCAGCGCAGCACTTTTGGAACTAGATCGCGCCAGTCTGGCGACGAACAAAAAAAGAAAGCGAGGCAAGCCTGCAGGCTTAGAAGCACCACAAAGACTGGCAGACAGAGTCCCCCCTCCTCTTCCACCTCATCCTCGTCGGCCTCCGCATTCCTCTTGTCCGTCCTCCTCCTCTTCCTCCTGCGCGCCCTCTGCCCTCGCTTCCTCCTCTTCCTCGTCTTCCTCAGCAGAGAAGCTGTGCGCGGCCGCGCAGGGAATCACTTTTGCAAGTAGCATTCCAACGCCGCAAGCTCAGAAGCACCGCGGGCAAGCAGGCCTGGATCCATCACCTCTCGCGCTCGTCTTCCAGGAAATCGCGCTAATCTGCAGGCTGCCAAGAATCGATGATGCGCCGGGATCCACCTCCGGTGCTGCCGCCGATGTCAACGGAATCGCCCTCTTTCGTGCGCAGACGACCATGTCCCAGCGCCACAATCGCCGCATTGCGGTTCTTGAGCAACTCGCCGCTCTCCCACTTCCGCAGTACATCCCATTGCCTGCGAGTGAAAGTGGCATCGTCTGCAGGCCGACTAGCACCGCGACGCTGCACCTCTTGCCGATGGCGATAGAGCCGCTCACCTTCGTTGTAGCGCGCAATGGCCCCCGCCTTGTCACGGTGGAGGCGGCGGCGCTCTTCCTGAGAGACCTGGTTGCGATCGGCGAGCTCTGCGGGTGCATCACTGGGCTCGACGTGCAAAGCTCGCTTGAGCATGTCAACGTCGAAGCGGCCAGAAAAGGCGAGGACCTCCCAGATCTGCTTCGCCCCGGAGACGCGTTGCAGATGCCGACACCATCGCTTGCGCTTTTGCTCTCTGATGAACTTACGGAGGCTGCCAATGCCTTGTTCCTTGCCCTTGCCTTTTCCCTTGCCTTTGCTCGCAGGCTGATCAGCGCCGCGTTCCTGCTGTGCTGACGTTTTTTCCCTTCGCTTTCCCTTTCTCGGCATCTCGGTTCTGCAGCTGAACCTGGAAGGCAGAACTTTCGTACTCTTCTCGAGCACGTTAGACAAGTTCCCCGCGCTCCTCCTCAGTAAGGACATGGCGCATGTTCGCAATGTTCTTGCTTCGGAGGAAGTCGTGGCGGATCCGCAGAACAGCCTGAATGGCCCGAGCAGTCTCTTCCTGCGACGCATAGGCTGCGTCGCAGTCATCGCCAGGCTGAGGAGCACCAGCGTCTGCCCTCTTCATGAAAAGCAGAAGGCTGAGCTGATGGAGAAGTTTGGGATCGTAGCTCTCCTCGTAGATCTGCCCCCAGTACTCCCTCATCTCACGATGCACTTCCTGCGCGCGCCGACGAACTTCATCGTCAAGCTCGTTGCGCTGCGGCGAAGGCGAGCGGCTTGGCATGGGTTGCCATTCTGGCGAAGGAGAACGGCTTGGCAAGGGTTCCCAGCCGACTTCAGTTTCGGCTTTGTCTGAAGCAGTATCGGAGACAACGAAATCTCCTAAGGCAAACTTCCGCTTCTTTGTCTCCTTAGGCTGAGAAGCACCAGGGAGAGCAATGGTGATTGCAACAGCATCGTGGGAATCGTTGCGCATGCCACGGCCCTGGTACGATGTGCCAACAGCGATGGGCTTGAACTGCGCAGTGGCCCCAGAGACCGCCACGTTGTCACCTTGGCGATCACTTGGATGCGCAAACACATCCCGCAACTGCTCGTCATCGGTGTGGCGCTGCAGAGCAACGCGGGTCTGCGTGGACGTCAGGTTGTTGTCGCCGACAATGACGCGGACAACTGGTGCGTCCACATGCGGACCTGGAAGGCTGTCCAGGTAGAGTCGGAGGAGCCTGACCGCACGTTGTTTGGTCAGCACCGACGGCGGCTTCGCTCCGCAAACGATGTGCAAGTTGGCAGTAACCGAATGAATTCTACCATGGCCTTCTATTTGCACATCGAACCGTGTGATCGCCGCGTCCACATGTCTCCCGATTGGGATGTGATGGATATGCTTGTCTCCGTGCAGGGAAACATCGACAGGCTGAGAAGCACCGCCGAATCCCCACTGGCATAGGTAATTGTCAACCTCGGAGAAACAGACATTGTCGCCAAACGGTTTCGTCAGGATGTCTGCCGCGTCAGCAATCGCTTTGCTGAGGCCTTGCCGAGACGCACCGACTTCGCAAGCAAACAACAGATCAGCATCACCGTCCTGGACGATTGTGGCGCACACGCGGGCAAAGTTGGAGAAGTGAGTGCCAGCCCTTTTTCCCAGTCATCATATTCTGATCGAATCCGAAGTTGAAGGAGGCGATCGTGAAAGACGCAGGCTGAGAAGCACAGCGACCAGTGGCGACCGCGGCCTCCTGTCGGCTGTCGTTCGCAGGCTGAGAAGCACCACGAGAAGCTGACGCTGAAGATGCCATCGCGAGACTGGTGCCTTTTCACCACAGAAGAGTACCGTGGCAACGACCCCCCTCCTATCCCCCTCCGCGACCTGAGTAGACCACCCAGGCCAGCAGAGGACGTCATAGGAGGCAAGGGTTCTGACGTCGATGAGAGAAGAAAAAGGAGGAGCGAGTAGAAGGAGGAGGAGAGGCGTACGAGTACTACTACGACTACAATGGCGTGTTCTCCACAATGCGTCCCGGGAATTCTGGGAGCACGGTGGAAGAGCAGAAAGTGGCGTGCAGTTGGCTCCGGGCATCCAAAATGTGCGCCAGGAGTGGCAGGAGTGGCATTCGGCGATGGCGTTCGGGGCAGTCGAAGAACACGAAGTGGCCTACAGTTGGCTCCGGGCATTCAGAATGTGGCCCGGGAATTGTGTTCTGGGAAATCGAAGAGCACGAAGTGGCCTACAGTTGGCTCTGGGCATTCAGAATGTGGCCCGGGAATGGCGTTCTCGGAAGTCGAAGAGCACGAAGTGGCCTACAGTTGGCTCCGGGCATTCAGAATGTGGCCCGGGAATGGTGTTCTGGGAAGTCGAAGAGCACGAAAAGTGTGATTGTTGCGTCCGGTTATTCAAAATGTGGCCCGGGAATGGAGTTCTGGGAGGTCGAAGAGCACGAAGTGTGTGACTGTTGGCGAAAAACGAGCCCGGTTCGTCCGCCCGGCGTCCGCCTGGCAGCTCGCCGACATCCGCCCAGACCCCCCTGAGTAAGCTGCTGCCCTCTTTTGATCCTACTAGAAACCTATCAGTCTACGCTGTTAGGTAACTAAATCCATAGAAGCATGGATAATACGATTAATACTACTACTAATAAACACAATCTTCATCATCGTCATCATCATCATGACCAGCATCAGCATTATCAGCAGCATCATCATCGCCAGCATTATCAACATTATCAAACTAAGAATAACAAGAAGGATATTCAGAACGATCAGGAAAAGTGAGAAGGAAGCGGAGAAAGTGAGGAAGACGGACAATGATAGGGGAAATAAAACATATAGAGATGGAGCATGACAAGGACAAACAGAAAGGACACCAGAACGAGAAGACCACTGACAATGAGCAAGAGAACGAGACAGAAGGAGAGAAGGAGCGAGGAGGAGAAGAAGGGAGGGGAAGGGAGAGGTCCCTGCGAGGGAGGAAGGGGGCGGTAGGACGGGCACGGCAAGGCGCAGGGGGGGAGGGAGGGAGGAAAAGCGAGGTTGGCCCACAGAGGGGAAAGGGGCCCCGAGAGGAAAAGACCTTCTTGCAGACCTGTGGAGGGCGCCATTCCACAGAGGGAGGGAGGGAGGGAGGGAAGAGGAGAGGTGGAGGAGGACCAATGACTCCGACGTCGTGATGCTTTCATGTCGTGGACCCCCGGAGAGCTGGACCCCTTCCCAAGGAACGGGTTTGCATCCCGAGTCTTTTTGCTGACGGCCCTGGGGCCCGCCAAAGGCCCCCAGAGAATGAAAACGGCGAACAAAACTCGGTCCTGATTTGCTCAATACGTGGGAGCTCTGGGAGGGCAGCGGTACGGGTATGGTTGAAGGGGCCCTGGGACACACAAATAAATGCACACAAATAACAGGATTCCCCTATCTTTTCCTATATCTTCTGGGGTTTTGCTTCCCCCCCACTTCCCATAGTTTCCCAGATTCTCCTGGGAGTCGACGATGAATTGTGTCTGCGTGTTTTTTCCACTCCTGAATGGTCTTTGGGTCATAAAATCGGGTCTCCGGCAGCCGCTCGGGACGCCCCGAAGCGCTCCCAGCAAAAGCCCTCGTCGAGGCGCGGCCGCTGGAACGCGCACCAGAGGGCCGAGAGGCCACCGGGAGCCAACGAAGGCGCCATGAAACCCTCGAGCCTCGGGGGCGGGAGGAGGAGGAGGAGGAGGAGGAGGAGGAGGAGGAGGAGGGGGAGGAGGAGGACGAGGAGGAGGAGGAGGAAGAAGGACAAGAAGGGCGGTCGAAACCGGAGCAAGAATAGTAATGAAGGAGGAAGAGGAGAAGGAGGAGGAAGAGGAGGAGGAGGAGGAGGACAGACAGGCGGAGGACGACGAGGGCGCCCGAGCGTCGCGCCTTCTCGAAGTAGAAGGCCTGGGGCGCCGCGGCGGCCGCACGGGCACACGCCGCGGCCGCGGCCAGGGCGGCAGCCGCCGACGCGGGGGCCATCGCACTGCCCGGGAGGGGCCCCGGCGGGGAGCGCCGCCGGAGCGGCCCTGCCCAACGAAGAGGGAGAGATGCTGGCCACGCACGGCCTCCTCCTCCTCCTCGCCCTCCTCCTCCAACAGCTCTTCCTTCAGCGACACATAGGATAGGAGACCGATTTCTGACTACACCCACTTCCCGAGGTGCCTTGCGAAAAGCGGTTTCCAGAGGTGGAGGTGGGCAGTTTCCCCGCCCCAGGGGAAGGAAAAACTACCCACTTCCACCCCCGAGGGCCTATCATAGAATCGAGGATCCAAAGGTGGGTGTGGTCAGAAATCGGTCTTCGATAGGAGTGACCCTAGGCTAGAGTGACCTTCGGTGCGCGGCTTCAGGGGTGCCCGTAGGGCCCAACGCAACCGCGCAAGCCAGCACTGCGGCGCCGCATCAACGATCGGCGGGACGCCACTCGAAAGATTTTTGCGCCAGCGGGCAGCCGCGGAACTCCTCGAACGCCCCGAATGGCTCTTCGAAGGCGCTGCAAAAGCAGACACTGCCGGGGGCCACCAAGATGAGGTCTGGCACTGCCGGGCCGCATCGCGATGACATCTGACCAGGTCTGGCGTCATGGCCACAACGGGCTCCATCCGCGGGCCTGGAATATGTTATTTTCGAAGATATACAAAAGTATCCAAAAAGTGTAGGACTGGACGATTGGGCATTTGGGCTGGGATTCGGAACTGGTCCTGGGGCGGACAACGCGCCGTCTGGTCGACTGGCCCCCCCGCGGAAAACAAATGCACACTGTAGGGTGCGCCGCGTTTGCGTTGCTGCCGATTGCCAGGGGGGGAGGCCCAAACCTGGCGCGCTCAAATGCGAGCGCAATCACGCGATGCGACTGCCGACGCGAGGCCAAGCTAACTCCAAAAGAAATATCACCCGACCCACTTGGGGCCAGCACCAAAGGTCACTCTAATAAAGGGTCACTCTTACGTGTGCACTCCTCCATCCTTCCGGTCTTCTCCTCCGCCGCCTCCTCCTCCTGCTCCTCCTCCTCCCTCGCCTCTTCCTCCCTCTCCTCCTCCTCCGCCTTCTCCTCCTCCGCCTCCTCCTCCTCCTCCTCATATGTGGCTCCAGCTTCGCTGCCATTTCAATGTGGCCGCTCGTTGCAGCCCCCGGCCCGCGGCAGTGCCCTCACTTGCGCGACAGCCTCCGTGCCTAAGCAGGCTCCAACGCAGAGCAGCCTGTGGACTTGCGTGGCACGGAAGTTGGCCTCACTTCCTCTCGGACGTTGTGGCAGCGAGACGCGGCATTATTTCTTTCAGGATCGCCAGCCTGGTACCAGCGTTTGCGCCGACAGCACAGCTGGGCTACGAGGTTTCGCAAAGTACAATCGGCAGTGGACCCGTCACTTCTTCTTCTTCTTCATCATCATAACCATCATCGTCACCATCATCGTCATCATCACAATCATCATCATCATCATCATCATCATCATCATCATCATCACCATTCATCATCATCATCATCACCACCATCATGATCATGATCATGATCATCGTCGTCATCATCATCAGCAGCATCATCAGCAGCATCAGCAGCAGCAGCAGCAGCATCAGCATCAGCATCAGCATCAGCATCAGCATCAGCATCATCATCACCATCATCATCATCATCATCATCATCATCATCATCATCATCATCATCATCATCATCATCATCCCGGCTCGAGAATGCCAATGCGTGCAAGGGGACGTGGCAAGCAGCAAGATGGCAGTAGGGAAGCAAAATAACCGAGGTGATCATGCAACGCTACTCGTCAGTGTGGAAGCAACTGCAATGTTGCTGGACATCTACGATGCTACATGTGCGGCAGAGGCAGGAACGGACCGCCCGATCAGCAAGGCCCCCCGTGTAGAGAGCAGCGGCAGCACCCACGCCCACGCTCAGCTTTTTACCCACCCCGTGAAAGACGTGACGACGCCCAGGGAGAGGAAGGTGGAAGTGACGAGGTGGCCAAGACTCGACATGCCTTGGGCGCATTATGACGACTCGAGCTTGATGAGGACGGTTACGTTCCTTGGCAGCGAAAGAGCAGCTCGCGGACGCTGGTTCGCCAGAGCGCAAGCAGCGCAAGCCTGACGACCTCCTTCGCAGAGCCCTCGACAGAGTCAGCAAAAAGGAGGAGGTCAGAAGCTGGCAACAAGTGGTTGTCAGACTCCAGCCTGAATCGGATGCCCGGATTACCGAGCTCGACACGGCGAAAGCTAAGCTCGAGGCTGCGCGTTGAGATGGTCGGCGTGGCAACGGGAGCACAGCCTGCCGAGCCGCAGGAGGAGGGGATCGACGAGGCCCATGGTAGATTACAGCAGGTGCTGGCGGCGGCCCCAAACGCCATGCAGGCGGGCGGCGGCACCGCCCTCATCGATCCCCTAACGTAACATCCCACGGAGCTCCAAACAGCTATGGGTACCCAGCGGCAGTTAGAATGGCATATCCAGGGAGCGGGGCAGCAGGTCACCCATGGGACCCGCAGCCATCGCACCTACGAGGTTAACAAGCTCGCCGATGAGTTGTCTTGCGGGCGCGAGGGGCAGCCGCAGGAGAAGGACGTTCGACACAATATAGTTTCACTCAGATTACCCGACAGGGGCAGGCACTCCGGCGGCAAGGGGCGGCTGGCGCGTGCTACAGCGGTGGTAAGTCAGTTGTATCAGGCCAGTGTTCCCAATTTTGGCAAGGGGGAGGTTGCGACACATCAGGAAAAATACTCTTCCAGGGTGCGCAGAGCACCGCTTCATGGGAAACGCAGGGCTCTCCGGCTTGCTTCTCTCAATGGTTCAAATTGACCTCGGATCAAAAACTGTCTGAGCGACGACCGTCATTTTGGATTGGTCGCTGTCCAGGAACATGACTTGCGCGGCAACGCGCTCAGGCAGGCAGGAGAGTGGGCAGCGCGACATGGTTGGAAACCTCTCTTGTGCAATGCGCTGCCATTCGAGGACAGCGAGGACGAGGCGGGTGTAAGCATCGTCGCACGATCAGACATAGGAGTGGCACTCCTTGGTGACATTCCATGGTGGCACAGGGGCGGCATGGAAGGACATGCTGTGTCAGTCTTATTGTTTGTGCATGCCGGTCCAAGACATGGTTCCATGGTATGCTGTTTGTACCCCGATCAAGGCGATGGCCCATCAGGACGAAATGCCGTCAAACTGCGTATGCTTGGCAATTGCATGCTACACAGTGCCCTACGCTGGCGAGGCGGACAGAAACAGTTCTCCAGAATTGCGAACCTCGTCTTGACCTCCTGACTGGCTGCGTGGCCGCCTTGCTGCGCCACCCGATGGCACGTAAAGGAACCCGACGACCAACGACATGAACGTTCTTGACGAATGCCATGGCGCTGACATCAGGACCGCTTTGGGTTCGGAAAGCGCTCGCTATTCCGTAGGTCATTCCGCGGTTTTCGTGTAATGCCCCTCGTGCACCCAGGCACCCGGGCCCTTCCTGGCACCAAAACAGCGTCATTCCTTCTCCGGCGTTCCAGATTTCAGCCGCCCTTCGGCACTGGCTGGTATATGATTATCTGGCTGGTGTCATGGAGGCCACATGCGTCGTCGGAGGGCATCCTGCACGCAAACACGCCCCCGCGGGTGCTAATCGTGGCCCCCGATCTCGAGCTCGGCAGGTGCGTCGATAGATTGGGGCCCAACCTCTCCCTGCGAAGATGGTGCCACAAGAAGCTGGCGATGAGCCTGACGACGATGGCACGCCAGTTTGGGGCATTTCCCGAATGGGCCAGGCTTCTCGTGAACGGAGCTTCTGAGAACTGATTCGTCGAATGGCTCAGGGGATGCAGAGCGGCACCCAGAACGACATCAGGACGTGCGTCGGGAAGCGCATGGCGGCACCAAGACTGAGCTGCTGCTACGTTTCGAGATCGGCGATGACGATCGCCGCAAATATGCGGGGCGCCCACGCGGCTCAGAGCATCGTTTATTCGACTGCGCGCGGGGCCCCACATCCTTCCAGCACCCATCGGGCATCGGCCCCCCCAGGATTTCGCGCGCGCTGCAGCGGGGAATTCTGGGCGCAGCGAACGCGCGCAAGCAGGGGCGCACGCGGGCGCAGCATGCTTGGAAACGCATTAATGGATTATTACCGGGAGTTGGGCGCGATGGACGATTGCGGACGCACCCCCTCCCCGCCGACGCATTATTTCGCGTTGCGTGCGTCGCCGGACGCGCGCGCAGTCAACCATGGGATTGCCGCGCTCCCATGCTGAGGTTAGTCGGCGACTTCTTGGGTCGAATGGCTGAGCGCGGGGAGTCGCGACCCAGGGGTAGATCCCGCTCTTCCAAGACATTGCCGCGCGCGAATATCTCGTCGCAGCCGAAGCCCGTTCGCCGATGGTCTGAACCGCAGGGGCGGATTCTCGAGCTGACAAATTCAACGCTGCGCCCCTCGATGCCCCCATGGGATGTCGGGGGCGCGCAGGGGGCCAATAGTGCCCGCATCTGGGCTGACATGGGTCATCCAGGACAGCGGGGCTAGCTTGCGCGGGAGCGGCGGGGTCTCAGCTTCGCGCCGGGCCCAGGGGCCCGTTGGTCGGAAGCGCCGGGAGCTTCGAGCCACGACGAAGACTATCCCGTTTAACACGGCCGTTGGTGATCGTGCGTTTTGTCCTCGTGAGCGGGCCGAGGTTTCAGCGTCGTCAGCGTTTGGAGATCGTGCCTCTATGCGCGAAGCCTGGGGCACGCGACGGCAGATGCACGCGCGAGTGCGCCTCGCCAAGCCGACTGGAATCTGCGCGCCGACTGCCTCGACGCCGTCAATGTATCGGGCGCGGGGGAAAGGCGCGGGCGCGATGCGTCAGTGCATGGCGGGAAGATTGCAGAGATCGTTCTTGGCGCTTGGGGCCCCACGTTAGACGACGGACGCTGCCGCTCGCGTTCTAGTGCAATCAGAAGCCGCACCCCGAGGCAGCCCCAGCGATGCCGCTACCATTCCTGGCATTATCGCCATCGGGAAATGTTTCGACAGAGCGGCGTGGAGGACTCGCATCGGGGCT